CCCCCCCCCCCCCCCCCCCCCCCCCCCCCCCCCCCCCCACCCAAGGGTCGCCTGCAAAAGGGGGAGAACGGGGAGTTGATGGGGGATGTTTGAGTAGAGACATGTCAAGAGAACAAGTCCATCCTGACAGCTTTACAAGAAGCGTCGCACCCATTCAGCACTGAGCCAGCCAACCTTGTCAAAGGCAGTCCAGAGCTTGGAGGCCTTGTTGACGTCAATCTTGCAGGCTTGCTGAGCGTCAGTCTTGCGGAACTCCTTGCCGGTCCGGAGGCATTGAAGACGGCGCTCAAACATGCGTCGCTTGCTGGTGAGATAGGTGGCGCAGTCCAGGCGGAGGTTGCCGGCGAGGATGATTTCGTCAGGGTGAAGCAAGTCGTGGTAGGGGTCGTTGCTGAGGTCGATTGGCTGACCCTTCCAGTCCACCTTGAGGCTGTTGGCCCTGTTGGGAAGAGAATTGAGGGGCGGGCAGTAGTCGGGAAGAGACTTGAAGTCCTTGTCCTCGCGGTTGGGGGCGACAATGCGGCGAGATGGCTCAGGGGTAGCGCTTGGGCGGCGAGCAGCGGCGGGTCGAACAACAACCGACGAAGACGAGGGCAGGCCGTTGCCGGAGCGGATGGGTCGGTGGCCCGAATGCTGTGGCTTGGACACTCGGTCGGCGCGCTGGGATCGGGCCGGCTTGGCGGCAATGGGCTTGGCCGGGAGGATGGCGTGAAAGCGTTGGGCTCCGGCCTGCCGGTCGGCAACCAGGAGAGCCCGCTCCTTGAGAAGCCATCCGCGGCGGTTGCTGGTGAAGTGCTTCATGACCTGAGAGCGGAAGGTCAGGGCGAGCTCATAGTCCTCGCGCCGCGGTGGCGTGACTCCGTTGAAGATGATGGTGGAAGAGGAGCGAGCGCGAACATGGTTGTCGACGATGCGCTTGTGGTGCTCAATCTCAGCCGGAGCAAACAGAGGTGGCTGTGGGGGGCTCGACGGCGAAGACTCATCAACGGGATAGAGAACGGGGTCCTCGATGCCCTGTGTTGGTGGCGTGCTGGGCGAGTTGCTGGAGACGTGCTTGGTGTAAGGCGAGATGGGAGGCGACATTGGCAGTGGGTGTTTGTCAGAGGGCAGGCCGTTGTTTGCTGCAACAACAGAGGCCATGGCGGAGAAGATCTTTGATTGCTGATGGCCATGGCCGTGGCTAAAGGTCTCGAGGAGGTTGTCAGGGGGTGACATGAGATTGCTAATCTCAAGCTTGCCGCCGTCCTTGGGCGCGGCGGACGAGTCGCCGCCGTGGGGGAAATTGGTCGTCATGTTGCGAGATTCAATTGCGGATTGGCGGTTGTTGAGGAATTGGTAAAAGGGAGAAGGCGCGGGAGTCGAGAAGAGAGAGGGAGAAGGAGAAGAAGTAGAAGTAGAAGAGTTATTCCGAGAAGCTGGAATGCCCAGGCTCTTATCGAAGTGAGTAGAAGCTTGCTGGGCGTGGAACTGGGCGTGGCTTGCCGTGGGTTTGTCAGCCATTCCTAGATGGCGATGACCCGTCTGACGTGTTTCTGGGTGGCGAAGGCCGTATCGAGCCGGGACGCAGGCAACACAGTGGGGTTAGGCAAGATGTCAAATCGGCCACAGCAGCCTTTGGTCGGGATTTAGCGTTTGGCCGGAGATAGACTCGACTTGAGAGTTCAAATTCCGCTGAAGAGAACGGAGTTTGGGAAGATGGGAAAAGAGGGCGAGGTGTGGCGGATTGGTGAAGGAAGTCAATTTGGCTCGGGGGATCGAGAGAGGGAGAGAGACTTCTTTTGAACCGTGAAATTGACGACGGCAGATGAGTAAAGCGGCAGGCGGGAACGAGCCGATTGTTCAAGGGGATGAATAGAACAGGCAGCTTCCATTCAAATATGCGGGAGGCCGCGAAGGAATAGGAGGAGGAAGAAGAAGGCTAATTGTTCTCTTTGCTTCCCTCTATTTTCGTTTGCGCAAAAACGTGAATAGAGCAGGCAGCAGTGCGCGGCAAGGGGGAGAATAGAGGATGAAACAATAACGATGAATGGCTCCAAGATGATCCTGAAAGAAAGGTGATCCGGATTCCTGGGGAATTGTCCGATAGATATTTCAATTGAGTTGAATTGGGCCCACGGAAATTGAGTTTCGATGGGGATTTGGGGGATCCTCTTTCTGGCACGGAAGATGCAAATGCAAATGCAGGAACAAGAAATGGTGAATTCGCCCCCCCTCGGCAGCGGATACTACGGAGGCAAATCAAAGGCAGGCCGTGAACAAAGGAATTGCTTGCTGCGGTGAGGTGAGTGCGGTTCCTAAATCTCTGACTCGACTGTTGCAGTTGCAGCCTGGCGAAGGAAGGGGAGGTGCCCGAAATAAATGCACGGCCAAAGGACTTGGACTTGGGTCGATGACTCTTGCTTGGTTCTTTGGTAATCGCTTGACTTGACGCTAGACAGGTAGTTCCAGCAGTAGCTTTTTCTTTCTCCAGGCCAAAAAATCAGAAGATTCACACTGTTTCTGGTCTTTCTTGTTCCTTTTCTTTCTT